ACAGCTCAGCTACCACCAAAAAGAACACCTCCCAGTCTTTCTACTGCAGTTCACTTCATTAGAACTTCTGCTTCCAGAATATGATGAGAGGAGACATAATCTTCCCCATTCAGGGACACATATGTAAATGATGCCAGAGGGTACAACTCCAGACACAATATACAAACTCCCGATTTAAAGTAGTTATGAATAAACAGTAAAATTCACATTAGTTCATGTTTCTGAAAATGACTAGTGATTCCTCACAATGAAACACAGAATTTTATATAACTTTTTCTTTAGATAGTCTAAAGACAGACCAAAATCTAATAAAATTTTTCAATTAGGAGGTAAAAATAATATTCCTGTAGTTGCTTTATGCTGCAGTATTTATAATTTATTTTGGGGGAAAAGCAGGCTTAACTTAGTTATGAGCATAAAAAAGGCAACAGAAAACGGTCATTTTAGTAATCATTGTTCTGGAGTTACTCCACCTTACCTTGGTTTGGAATTCCATAAAGCTCTTCTCTGAACATTGTTTCCTGTCTGAAAACTAAGAACCAAAACCAGAAACTTTAAAGTTTCTCTATTTATATAGATATCAATAAGCTAGTTTTAATGTTGGACTAAATTTCAAAATTCAAAGTTCTCTGTTCCTACTTTGCTGAAAGGTATGTATATATCAAGAGAATTTCTATAAATTTTCAACTGCAAGTATCAGTTTTGCTGTTATAGCTCTTTATTTTTGTACATAAAAGGAAGTGGGTTTTGATACTATCTCAGTGTTCTTCCTGTCTTACAATGCACTTGAAATAAAGTGATGTCACATTAAGAATAAAAGTGCTAAATAAGAGAAAAGAATAGGCACAATTATTTGCTTTAGCTTTCCTGATAACTGCAACTGAACGAGAACTGCCTATCACTACCGTAAGTCTGTTGCACTAACTTCTACTGGACTACAGAAACATTTCTAAATATGTGATATGTACCTATCTATACCATACAAATGATTCACAGACTATAGGCTAAATCATTTTTTAGCTTGGCATTTATCCATTTCCTGAGAATATCACTGCTGCTGAAATAGTTATGGATATGCACCTCCCATTCTACCTTCCAAGCTTTTCTCCTCTCAGTTCTACAGACTGTCTAGAGTCAGAAAAGAACTTTAGAGAACATTCCATCTTACTGTAACCCAAGGACAAATAACCAATACTGTGATGATTTCTAGGGGAGAAATGAGATCAAAGGCAGCTCAAAAACAATTCTAAATTTGCTATTACCTTGCTGTTAATGTCTTCCATTGTTACACAGAGTGTAGAACAAGCATTATGTTATTCAAATCTACTTATTAAGCATGACATTGGGGTTGTATGGTTATTTCTTAGATCTCTTAGTATCATGATACATTTACCTCAAATTCTTTGTTTTTGTTCCGGGAATCGAACTCAGGGCCTTGCGCTTGCCAGGCAGGTGCGGTGCCACAGAGCTAAATCCCTGGCCCTATCTCAAATTCTTAAAGATAGCCAGTAATAACAATTAGTTCTGAGCAGAAAACATTGGCAGTAATGGAAATAGTCACTATTCAAAACAGTTTCTGTAGCATATATGACTCTTGAAATCAAGGACTCCCAAAAGTATTCTCAGAAAATGATTCTGTTGCAAGTTTACTAGACTGGCTTTCTTTAATACTGATTTCTCTGTTTCAAATCCCATCTAGAACAAATGAATCTTGCTAATGGTTTCCTTTGCCTTTGCTTGGCTTGGTTCCTAATCTTAGATCTGTAATTTCCAAACTTAAAAGTTTAATCTGAGGATAAGCAGGGGAAGACAGAGTCCCTTTCACTTTTAACTTTACTCTTCCAAAAACAGGTGCCTAACAGACCCTGAGGAACAGAGGGCCATGGAGCACACACCTCCTACCACAACTGACAGGGATTGCTTTATACATCAAGAATTTTGGATGCTCAGGAGGCTGGGCAGGAGAATCAAGAGTTCAACGTTAGGCTCTGCTACACAGTGACTTTGAGACTCTGTCTCAAAAAATCAAAAAATTTTTGGTCAGAGGCCCCTACTGTTTCTTGTCTTCGTTCCATTCATCCCTAAAAACTGAGGTCTGGATGACTCTCCACCAAGTGGGGTTGTGATCTTAAAGCTAAAATCTTCTGATTTTAAGCTTGCCCAAACTGTGTATCTAGTAGCTATACAAGAGGGCAAAGATGACACCAACAATCTCAGTTCTTTCCTGGTGTAGCACATACACATTGGCACAGGGACTGTAATGAATCAGAGCTATTTTTCTGATACAAGCATATTAACAGTTCAGAGCCATTCAAAATTAATGTGTTTAGTACTCCAGGAGGTATCATCTTAGCTTCTAGATGTAAGAGCTGCTCACCTACCACTCATCTAAGAAGACATTCATTCATTCATTCATTTATTTGGGTTGGGGTTTTTTTTTGGTACCAGAGATCGAACTCAGGACCATGTGGTTATGGGGCAGGTGGCAGCACTACTGGGCTAAATACCTGGCCCCGAAGAAGATATTTAATTAGCAAAAATTCTAAATGTCTGTTTTAGTCAGAAACATCAGTATCTTTGTAAAGGGCTCAAGAGTTAGCTTAAAAATTGCTTGTGTTATTAATATGCATTTGAGAGTCCTCCCTGCCTTTTATAAATTGTAAGTGTTGGAACTAAAAAAGATTTGCCCTCTTCAAAGAGATCCTGACAAGAAACTACAGAATAACTGGCAGGAATAGGTAATAAAATGTAGTCTCAATTGGAAAATCTCTTCCAGGGAAGCTGTTGCAGTAGATATTCCCTAAAGAGAGATTTTGGGGGGAGCTATGAAGCAGACACCTAACGTGATGAGAGCAAAGACAGGCACACTAGATTCAGTATTTGTGAGCTGGGGATTTAGCTCAGTAGTGCCACCGCCTGCCTCTTAAGTGCAAGGTTCTGAGTTCGATTCCTGGTACCAAAAAAATTTTTTTAATTAAAAATAAATAAGAACTCTTTAAAAAGGCTACAGATAACCAAGGGCTGAAAACAAACCCAGGTAAAACCCAAAATACTCCTAAGCACATTTGCCTATTTAAATTTAAGTTAAATTAATATTAGAAATTCAGTTTTTAACTAGTCAAAAAAATAAACCTAGAAATGGATCTCATTCCCCTCACAAAAAGTAATTCAAAGAGGGGCGCAATGGTTCATATCCATAATCCCTGCCATTTGGGAGGCTGAGGCAGGAGGATCCCATCTCAAACTAAAATGAAAAAAGGAAGCTGGCAGGATGGCCTGTGCTTGTAATACAGGACAAACTGGAAGTGGAGGCAAGAGGACTGAGTGTTCAAGACCAACCTTGGCTACACAGTGTTTGTGTGTGTGTGTGTGGGGGTGTTCTAGGGATATACCTCAGTACTTCTTGGGTTGAATAAAAAGCCATAGTTTTAAAGAAAATACGTGTAAAACTAATAAAAGACTGTTTCTTGAAATATACCAAGAACACATGAAACACATTCTTTTAATAAAATGGCTGGCTGTGGTGGCGTACACCTGCAATCCCAGCACTCTGCAGGCCAAGGCAGGAGGATCGCCAGGAGTCTGATGCAGCCGGGGCCACATCGCACATCATCAGGAAAATGCAAATTAAAATATGCACCTATAGGAATGGCCAAACTCTGGAGCACGGACAACACAAATGCTGACAAGGATGAAAAGCAACAGGAATGGATTACCTGCTGGTGGAAACACAAGAGCCACTTTGGTGAAGTCTGGCTGTTTCTTATAAAACTAAACATATTCTTTCCCTATAATCCCACAATAATACTCTTGTATTCATCCAAAGGAAATGAAAACTTATGCCCATGCAAAACCTGCACACAGAAGTTTACAATAGCTTTATTTATAACTGCCAAAATATAAATTCAACTAATATGACCTTTAGTAAGAGAATGGATAAAGTGGGGTTCACTCAAACAATGGAATACTCTTCAATGCTAAAAAGAAATGACCATCAGGGCCAGGGATTTAGCTCAGTGGTTGCGTTGCCTGCCTCGCAAGCACAAGGACCCGAGTTCGATCTCCAGTACCAAAAAAAGAAAAAAAAAAGAAATGACCATCAGCCGGGCATGGTGGTAGACACCTGTAATCCTAGCATTTGGGAGGCTGAGGCAGGAGGACCTCTGTGAGTTCGAGGCCAGCCTGGGCTACATAGTGAGTTTAAGGTCAGGCTAAAACTATATAGTGAGACCTGTCTCAATAAATAAATAAATAAATAAATAAATAAATAAAAATTTTAAAAAGGAAAGAGAAATGACCATCAAGCCATGACATAGGCAGGGAGGAATCTTAAATGCACTAAACTAACATAAGAAGCCAGTATGAAAAGGTTCGAACTATATGACATTATGGAAAAGGCAAAACTATGAGGACAGTAAAAGAAAAAAAATCAATGGTTGCCAAGAGTTAGGAGTAAGAGAGAGCCGAGTAGATGGAGGATAGAAGATGTTTAGGGCAGGGCTGGGGATTTAGCTCAGTGGTTTTGGTGCCTGCTGCGCAAGTGCAAGGACCCGAGTTCAATCCCCAGTACCAAAAAAAAAAAGATGTTTAGGGCAGCAGGATAACAAAGTGCCAACGTGGGTTCATCAACTATAATAAAAATACCACACTGGTGGGGAATCTTCAAACTGGGCAAGGCTATGCCTATGTGGGGGTAGGGAGCACATGGGCAATTTCTGTACATTCTACTCAGTTTTGCTGTGGACCGAAAGCTGCCCTAAAAATGAAAACATAGTTTTGAAAAGCAATTCCTTGGGAACATTAGTCATAATATGTGGCTATTGGGTTTTATTGGACATTATGGATACAAATACTTTTAATCATAGAAACTACTAGAAATACTCATTTAAAGAGTAAATGAAAGAGACTGACAGGCCTGGAGTCTGGGAAAGAGGAGCTGCCAATAAGAGTATTGTCCTAAACAGCATTCACTACTTCATTGGAGGATCAAGAAGATTTACCTTTCCTTTTCCACCTGCTCTTTTTTCCCTCTTTGTTGCTGCCACCATCACTGCTGCTGCTGCTGTTCTCAGAACTCTGGGAATCTGACTGACCATCACTGCTTTCTTCTGAACCTTCTGATAGCTCCTTCACCCCATCCGGCACATCTTTCTGAAAATGCAGGGACCCAATTAGGATTAATTATCACCATTACACCAAATAGGAATGAAATTCTGATATGCAATGTTGCAACTTAATTGTACTAACTTTTAGTATTATAAGACATAATAGCAGAACCAACAACATTTTCTGAATTCTTGTTATTTTTCTTTTTTGGATCAATTATGTTAATGTTTCCATCTATATTCAAAGATAAAAATTATACACAACATTCATATATAGGCACAATACACAGCCAGAAATTGGGTAGATTTAAGTTCAGGTAATTGATGATGTGTTTAGGATAAAAAAAAATATATAATAATAATGTTGTTAAATATATGTACATCTGGGTAAGAATCACTATGTTTTCTGAATACAATCAGAAAACTGAAGGCTGGATGGCAAGAGTGCATTATTTTACTCTAATTGGATCCTAGATACTGGCTAGTAAGTACCAAGGGTCAAATAGAAAAAAGAACATGTTTTTTACAAACCCTATCAATCTTATTGGTTTTAGAACTTAATAATGAGAATGCTAAACAGAAAGGATAAATGTGTCAGCTTACTATGTAAAAGATATAACAGAGTGATTGCAAGATCAAGAACCAGGAAAACAAGATTTTCTGGCTTTATCTTTTAACTGCACAGCCTTGGGCAAAGTGCTAACCTCTCTTGGCTCAATTCTCCTGACTATAAGGTGGGGATAATAATATCTACCCAAAAAAAATCATTCAGAAATTAAATGACTTAATATAAAATGCTGGCAAAAGAGTTCACTAAATGTTACTATAAATTTATGTTGTATATAAAAACATACATGTATAAATAAACAGACCAGTAAATGTTGTTTCTAAGTTACAGTTATGGATTTTTTCCACCAACTTTGTTTCCCATATAATTTATTTTTATAATGATAAAAATAATTCTGACAAAGACAAAATGTGACCCTCCCACATATAAGTGACATGCATGTGACTTCTGTATCATAAACTCTGATCTAGTAAACTGTTATTTCCACTTAAGTTTATATCCTAGTGCCATTTCTCTGCAAGTCATCCCTTATGTTATACACTTTCTTAAAATACAGACCCCATATTTTTCTATTCTTTCCTTCAAAATGCAGGACAGCTTTTATAGAGTTAGTTGTCAGCCAGATATCTTGACCTGTAGGTTCAACAAGTATCTGAAATACAAATATAATTAACTTCTTTTGTAAAAAACTTGGGATCCTGGCATCATGAGCTTATGTCCTGAATCTTAGAATTTTATCACCCTCTCTTTTACCTACTCCAAATGTGATATATTCTATTTCTGTAATGCCCTCATTCCACCTCTTTTACCACTCTCTTAGTTTAGGGCCTGAGCTTCTTCTCCAGACAACTTTAATGACCTTTTTTTTGCTTCACCCTGAAATCTATCCTAGTCAATTACATTGTTGTTCTGGAAAACCTCTGCCATCTAACACACACACACACACACACACACACACACACACACACTCTCTCTCTCTCTCTCTCTCTCTCTCTCTCTCTCTCTCCCTCTCTCTCTCTCTCTCTCCTGTAAATGGCCCAGTCAGGTTCAAATGCTGCAAAATTTGGCCTCTATCTAATGTTTACCATACTTAACACTCTTAAATGGAAGCTTACGCACATATTATGGTCTAACTACTCCAATTTTCTCTACTTTCAAATCTACTCTGAATAGCCTTTGCTTGAGCTATTCTCTGTCCTGGAAGGCTCTTACTCCTACTACTTATCTATCAAAGCCTAGCTCTAATCTTACAAGCTAATGATAACAAGAGTTTTTAGATCCCTTAATTCAAAATTAGATTTTATCTTACATCACTGTCATAGTATCTTATCGCACAGTACCAATATAACACTGTATAATAATATAAACTAGTAGTATTATAAGAAATGTACTACTAGGTCTCCACCCATGATTCCTGACATAAAGCTCCAAAACTCTTATAATCCTGAGCAATCATTGCACTAATATTTGGCCTCCAATCTTGGTTCCTGACACAGAGTTCCTAAGTCACTTGGGATCTCCCGGGCAACAACAGCATCTTTTGTTTAAGTGAGATGACTCTGGATGGCCTCAGGATGGGGGCTGGTTCCCAACTGAGCTAACTATGTTATTAGAAAGTTTGGAACTTTTAGCCCCACCTCCCAGGAGTAGAGAAGGCACTAAAGGTTGAACTGGTCACCAAATGGCCATTAATGTCACCTAATGAAACCTCCATAAAAACCCCAGAGGCCTAGGAATCAGGTGAGTTTCCAGATAAGGTGAACACAGGTGAGTGCCTTAAGGATGGTCCTCCAGGAGGGCACAGAAGCTTCATGCCCCTCCCCACACACCTCACTGTGTCTCTTCTGATGTTCATCTGTATTCTTCCTAATACTCTTTATTTAAAAAATAGGTAAATGCCTGGGCATGGTGGCATACACCTGTAATCTTAGCACTCAGGAAGCTGAGGCAGGAGGGGCACCATGAGTTGGAGGCCAGCCTGAGCTACATAGAGAGATCTTGTCTCAAAAAAATCAACCCTCTCTCAAAAGGAAAAAACAAGTAAATGAAAGTAAAGTGTTTCCTAGACTTCTGTGAGCTGTCCTAGCAAATTAGTCAAATCTAAGAAGAGATTTATGGGAACCCCATTATAACATGTCTGTAAGAATTACAGGTTACAACCTGAGACTTGGAACTGGTATCTGGAATGGGAGATAGTCGGGGGTTTGGAGTGTGGAGTAGTCTTGGGGAACGGTGCCCTCAACTTGTGAGCTCTGATACCATTTCCAGATGGACAGTGTAAGAGCTGAGTTGAACCAGAGGGTACCCAGCTCTTGTCTACTGGAGAACTGCTTGGTGTGTGGGGAGAAGCCCCATCAAAGGTATTATATTGAGTGTACACTTTGGGTTTTTTCCTATATCTTCAATGAAGCAGACATTTAATGACTCTCATTAAAAAGTTCTAGAACAGATAAAATCTCAAAGTAAAACAGAAAGCTCTATGTGGAAATAAAGTCCTATAACTTCAGGAAGTTAAACATAGGAGACAAAAAACAGGCAATGTAGGGAGGTTAGATCTTTTTAATGTTAATAGGCTAACACAATCACAGAAGACAGTGATGACCACAGCTTGAAGCTATAAAGGTAACAGGAGACAGAGTCTCTCACAGACATAGTCATTGCCTGCCATGCATTCATTCTGTCTCGTGATCAACTTACTCTGGGCAACAATCCCTTTCCTCAGCTAACTTGACTGCAGTGGGCTTAGAATCAGCTTCACATCAAGGGTGATCATGATTAAATGCTGGCCAGTCAGTCAGAAGAACCTAGACATGTAGCAACAGCCACCATTCAGGTATGGCCACATTAATTGACCAACTAAGCCAAATCCTGGGTTTTCCTCTCTCCAGGCTTATAGTATGCAGAGTGGGGACTGTGACTGAAGACATATGATGAGGAAAAACTAAAGCTAACCAAACAAAGTGGAGATACCAAGCCCTGATGATATCATTTGAGCACCTGGACCCAGCCTGATTTCCTTAGAATTTTCAGTTAGATGAGCTAATAAATTGTCTTACTCCTGCTCATTCAGAGTTGTTTTGACTGCTTGAAATATTAATAAGTAAAAATCTCTTCGCAGTGTAGAAATTAAGATATTAGTCAGCTTTTTGTGGAGGGGGAAAAAATGGGTTTGGGAGTTAGTTAAGTCATATCTGTGTTGATATTCTAATTCTGATATGGACTGGACAACACTGGTCAAAGCAATTCAATCTTCTTAACTTTGGTTTTCTCCATTAAAAAAAAAAAGAATAATCACAATCATTGAGTTACTGAAGAGAACTAAACGAGAGAGTAATGTAAAGCTTCTAGTCAATATGTTTCACCATAACACCCAATAATTATTCAAACGGTGAAAGCTTCTTTTAAAGTCACTAAAGAGGTCAGGTGTGGTGGCAGACGCCTGTAATCCTAGCACTGGGGAGGTTGAGGAAGGAGGATCTCCATGAGTTTGAGGCCAGCCGGGGCTACACAGTGAGTTCAAGGCCAGCCTCAACTACATAGAGAGACCTTGTCTCAACAAAACAAAGCAAAACAACAACAATAAAGTCACTGGAGAAGCTGGGAGTGGTAGTACAGGTTCCAAGTGGTAATCCAAGTTACTTGGGAGGCTGAGGCAGAAGGTTTCCAAGTTCAATCCTAGCCTGGGTAAGAAGTGAGACCCAGCCTCAACTAAAAAAAAAAATTAATTTATATATATATATATATATTTATATATATATATATTTTTTGGTATCAGGGATTGAACTCAGGTCCTTGAGCTTGCGCAGCAGGCGGCAAAACCAGTGAGCTAAATCCCTAGCACAAAAAAATTGATTTAAAACATGTCACTGGCATCTGGAAACCAGGTACAGTGGCACACACCTATAATCCCAGCCACCAGGGATGTTTTTCAGGAGGATCTCTTGAGCCCCAGGAGTTCGAAGCCAGCCTGCACTACACAGCAAGACCCATCTTAAAAACAAACAAAAAAAATCACTAGAAGTCATTTTAATTTCATCCTTTCAAGATAATACTATTGTAAGAAATAGTTATTCCTCTGGCCTACTTATAGATTAGTAAAACTACACACAGACACACACACACGGGCGCGCGCACACACACACACGAGGGGCTGGCAGGGCATGTGCTTAATGTGCAGGAGGCCCTAGGTTCAGTCTCCAGCACCCAAAAGAAAAAAAACAAAAAACAAACAAACTATATGTGTGTTATGGAGTTGAAAGTATTACTTCTTATTGAAAATATGTTCTTCAATAATTGAATTCTATCTGTATAACTCAAATACTACTTATGTTGTCATTTCCTATTTTTTCTTTTTAAATGACTCCCCAACGGAAATATTTACCTTCAAAGTATACACTCCCATTCTACCTGGAACTTTATAGAAGATGCCTTCTTCACCTCGGGAGTTTGTATGTAGCATTGCATTCAGGCAGGCAAGGGGGGAAGTCCCACTGTAAAACAAAAAGATGATGATGATGGTGAACACAGTGATTAGTTTCTGTCTTTGAATAGTCTATGTGACACTGACTTAATTTTTTAAATTGGTAAATATTCCTTTAATTTAAACACAAAGTTTGTCAATCTAGAAAGAGGTTGTCAAGATCGAAATAGATATAAAAATCTTTCTCATACATCTGAAGAAAAATAAAATTCTTAATTCTGATCCAGTATTTAAATTTAAGTCAAGAAAAATACGAGGGTACATATATATTTTGTACACATTCTACTTTACTTAGCACAAGCTTTACAAATGTTTAAGAAAAGTGTGTGTGGGAGAATCAGACACAACAGATTCAAATGAGTATTTATCTTCTTGCTACTGCTGCACCAAACTAAACCTGTGAAACTAACACAGTCATCATTTCTTGTACTTAAAACTATCATGAGATCTCTTTAAAAGACATTAAGTAGGATTCTGAGCATTTATTTTGAACATCACAACACAGATAAAAGTAAGATCATACTGAGAGAAATCAAATAGAATCAAGTCTTACTTAAGTCTTGTACTAATGTCAATTTCCAGGTTTCCAACTACTGTACTATAATTATATAAGATTTACTACTGGAGGAAGCTGAATGAAGTGAAAATGGGTGTGTATGTACTATTTTTGCAGTTTCCTACTGTTCCAACAATCCCACTTAAAATCTATCAACAAAAAAATAAGGCCACAAGGACTTAGGGACTTATGTGTAAGGATTTATTTTCTCCACCACTGTTAGAAGTATCAAAGCACTGAAAATAACCTGAAAGTCCACTAATAAGGAAACAGTTGACTGTATGTTAAAATAACCAACAGGACATGAATAATAACAGCTACCTTAACAGCTAAAGAGTCCTAAGTTTCAGGAAACTTTAACTTTGTCTTCACAATAATCCTACAAGGCAGGCAAAATTATTACACCATTTTTACAAAGAAAAAAACTAATGCATAGAGGGTTAAAGAAGTTGTCACAAATTCCACAGTTAGCAAATTATGAAGTGAACATTCCACTGAGAAGAAAAAAAGCAGAAGCAAAAGAAAAAGGAAAAAAAAAGCAGGGATTTAGCTCAGTGGTGCTGCATCTGCCTTGCAAGCACAAGGTCCTGAGTTCAATCCCCACTACCACACACACACACACACACACACACACACACACAGAAATGGCTTAAAAAGAAAACATGTATTTAAGAAAAAAAATGTTCAATAACTTCCCCGGTAAGTTTACCCTGATTAATGGCATTCACTTTCAGTATTAAGTAGGGTGATAAACTAGTGTTGGTGGATCCAAAGAGAAAAGCTCTCTTAGCTGAGAGTCCCTGAGGGAAGTCCAGGGAGCAAACAGCTACATCACACTGTGATGCCAGCTGTTATTACATACACAGGTCCATAATCCCTGACCCAAAACACTTAGGCCAAATGTTTCAGGCATCAAAACAAATTTTTTAAATTTTATTTTAGAAAGGTAGCATAATATACCTAAATTACATAACATTGAGAAGGAAATTGGGGAGAGCACTGTATATCATAACCCAACACAGTGAAATATGAATATTCAAGCAAAGATTGTGCAGTTTAATGTCACTTCAAAAGAAGTGCTATCATCAAATGGCTTTGGGTGCTAAATAAATGAAGACTCTTTATTTCTCAAGAATCTGAGAAACTGGAATTATTGGGTAAGAGACTTCCAACTGGCTTTAAGACGGGGGTGGGGTGGGGTGAGGTGGGTGGTGGTGTAGGGCTCAATACCTAGAACAAAAATAAAACATTAACAATAAAACGTCTTTAAAGTGAAACCTACAAAATGAAAGTAAATGGTACACACATCTGAAGAAAAGGTGTGGTAGAAGAGTGAATCTATGTACATTGTCATATTTTCCTTACAAATCTGATACACATACCATTTATAACCACATACATCATAAGAAAAAAATTTTTAGTTTGTCATCTGACTCATCTGACTCTGTAGTGGGCCAACCAGATTCAATGGTGTGTGATTTTATTTAAGGCCTCCAGGAAGGAGATTCTCTCTTCTATATTTGAACCTGCAAACATCTAGCTCGAGGAGCTGCTAGCAATCATCTTGTATGATGATAGATGAGCCTGCTGAGAAAGCAACAAACATGAAGCTGGCTGAGCTGAAACTGCTGCAGCACCTGGGTTGAGCCTGGCTGGTTTTTTTTCACTTACACTAAATGACAAATTTCCTTCAATGGTTAAGTCAGGCTTATATTGTGTTTTTTGTTATTTACCACTGAAAATAGCTGACACAAACAACTCTCTACTATTAATAAAAAACATTACCTTTCTGATCAATAATGTCTATTAAGTGATAGTATGAGAAGGGGTAAGGGGCTACCTGAACTTGTACAGACTCAGGAGCAATTACATGTTTCTCACTTTTTTTCTTAATCATCAGCTTCAAGGATTAAGAAAGAAATCAAAGTAGGATCTGGGCACAAAATTCAAAGGGGCAGCTTAAGTTACTATCTGTTTCTATCATGTACTCTATCACGTGATGACCCTGGTGTAAGTGAAATGTGCTTCTCTGTCACAGTGACATTGGGCTTCAGCTACAAGGCTTGCTCTGGTTGGTGAAACGGAAAGAGAAGTAGGGGGTAAAATGTGCTTGGATTTGGTCTATTTCTATGACTGCTATGAGACCATGGCCAATGATTCCCGATTCCAGGAGAAAAACAGAACAATCCACAGACTGCAGCAAAGCCTAGTCAACAGTAACTTAGCCTAGGCTAAACTAAATACATGAGAGAAAAAAGTATTCATTGTTATAAACCACTAAAATTTGACGCTGTTTAACAACAAAAACTGCCTAAAAAGCAAGCCATGTGTGTACATATATATGTATATATGTTTTGTAAGAAACACCTGTTTCTTAGCAATACTCAATACCAAAAGATGATAAATGAAGTTCTTAAGGAAAGTGTGGCTGGGCATGGTGGCACACACTTTTAATTCCAGCAACTGGGAGGCTGAGGCAGAAGGATCTCTGCACTTTGTTAACCTGGGCTACATAGTGAGTTCAAAGACAACCTGAACTACATAGTGAGACCCTGTCTCAAACCAAACAAAGTCTGAACAAAAAAATTTACATCTACTGTACATGTTATAAAAAGAGCCAATACAAAATCTTCAGCTCACAAGAATTCAGAAGAATAAGCATCTGTAAACATTAAAATTCCATTAGATGAAATTCAGCCAACAATGAAATGCACCAAAAATAAATAATTCAGGAAAGAAGAAAAAAATCTCTTTAAAAAATGACATACAATCAGGCACAGTGGCACACCCTGTAAACCCAGCACTCGGGAGGCTGAGGTAGGAAGATTCCAAGTTTGAGTTTGAGTCCAGCCTGGGCTACATAACAAGACACTGACTCACCCTCCAAAAAAATAAAAAGAAACAAACAAAAACATAGTTAGAAGGGGCCGGGGATTTAGCTCAGTGGTTTCGTCGCCTGCTGCACAAGTGTAAGGACCCAAGTTCGATCCCTGGTACCCAAAAAAAACCCCCCAAAACCCCAAAAAATAGTTAGAATCAGGTAATAGAAATGTAAATATTTTTTCAACTTCATTTTAAAAATAACAACATACCTTCAGAATGTTATTTTCTTTTCCTCAATTTCAGTAACCATTTAGGAATTAATACTCTCAGTGAAGAAACTCAAGTCTATTTTCTTAGTTTCTTTAACCAGAGGCAGTAATCAATGGTTACTTCTAGTTAGAGTTTCAGAATATCTTCGGTGAACATGTTTCATGACTGATTTTTAATTTTTTGTTACTAGGCATCATTTATATAAAAATAAACATTCCAAAAATATATGAATAAATTAATAAAACTAGAAAATTTCTGAAAGTATGAATCGTTTTTCAAAATCTCACCCTTTGTCACTGAGCATGCTACTAAAAACAAAACTAAAACTAAAAAAAAGGGTAAGAAAAGAAGTGCATACAAAATGAAGCAAAAGTCTTCTAATAAAGAGAAAAGACACAATGAATAGCAAGGTATTTGTTGACCAAGTACAAGAGGACAGACTCAAAATTCTACACATCCACAAATAAAAAAGAAAGAGGTTACCTTCATATGGCATTCAAAGATCAAGAAACAAGCCAAAGGTGAAAATCTAAAAAGATCTAGTGGTTTTAGAATGAATATATTTAGATCATATCACTACAGTTTTTAATCATCTGAATTATATGGTAATGATCTTTATGGGGGAATTAGCTTTTCACTTACAGAATATCGATATAAAAGGATTTCTGGCATTTCGATGATAGCCTGAAAGTTTGTTATATCAAACTATAAAGTGTGATTAAAATACATGTTAACTGTTTAAATTCTTTTAAAAAATGTATTACAGTAAATGACACATCCATGAATCCCCATTGTTTGGAACATACTTATCCCATGGTCCCTGCCACTTCACGAAGCAATTCAGGAAGTCCTCTTTCATGAGTGTCTTTATCAGATGTGATAGAAAAAAAATACAGTGAATACTGCTGCCAAGTACCATCCAACAGAAAGGAAGCCTTGTAAAAGCATTACTATGTGTCCTCATCCACCTTATTCACCAGATCTGGCACAGGTATCTTTTGGCTTTTCTCCAAAGCCAAAACATCCATGAAAAGTAAACATTTTGAATCAATTCAGGACATCAAGGCAGGCGTGTCAGCTCAATTAAAGACACTCAACCAAGGGCTTACAGAGGACTAACCGAACCACTTCACAACGTGGCAATAATAATGGGATAAGTATGTTGGTGGGGGCTTTTTAGTTTTGATTTTTTTGTTTGTTTTTTTTGGTACCGGGGATTGAACTCAGGTCCTTGCGCTCGCATAGCAGGTGGCGAAACCACTGAGCTAAATCCCCGGCCCTAGTTTTGATTTTAATAGCATGCCTGTGACAAAGCGAGTGATTTTGCAAAATACTCTTAATCTTTCCAAAGTTTTGTTTTG